ACAAGAAGGATTAGAAAATGTTAAAAAGACCTTTTTATGGAAAAACTCCGACTTGAATTATGAGAACTAAATCTCTATTTGTCTTTCAGGATGATCTGCTTCATCTGCTTCATCTGCTTCATCTGCTTCATCTGCTTCATCTGCTTCATCTGCTTCATCTGCTTCATCTGCTTCATGCAATATCAGCTCTTAAATATTAGACTTTAGGAATCACTGACATGCAAACAGACTTTGAGGGTTTTTCTTTTACTTTTCTTTCTTGCATTTCATCCAAATTTATGGCATCAAATCTTTTTGTTTTCATTTACAACAGGAATCAATTGATGCAATATAATAAGACGAGTCATCAGAAAACAAAAAAGTTTTAATACTTAAGAAGGTTAAGAATATAAATTAATATTTAGGAAAACAGCAGCAGCTCTAGTTTTTATGCAAACGCTTCTTTTCATGAGAATTCTGTTTATTTAATACATTTATTTCTGCTGGATTTGGAGGATTTAATCTGTGTGATTTCTGTTCAAGTTTTACTGAAAATAATAGTTCAATCAAATATCAACTCTAATCGGACATAGTTATTAATTTACTGTATAATCACACGTAATATAGAAATAAAGACTCAGATAAAAGATGTTTTCTGGTGCAAATTAAACTCAGAACAAACCTGCTTCCTATCGATACTTTTCAATCATCTGTGAGTTTTTTTAACTCCAGTTCCTGGTGAATCCTGGTTCCAGCGAAGAGGAACCAATCACATTTGCCTTCCTGTTTCACTTCATCTTGAGTTCAATTCAAATTAGATGTTCGGAAGTTAGAAATAAATATTTTCTGCTGTTCTGTTTATTTTGATGATTCCCTCTTTTCTCTAGTTATACTTTACCGTTACTTCTTGATGTTTCCTCCAAACTAAATGTTCCTCATAATGCTGCTGGACCGACTGTCTTTGCACAAATAAATAAAAATGGTGTCTTTTTATCTATAAAACTTTTCCAATCCTTCTCAGCTGAGAAATTAGGAAAAAAAATGGATTCTACTTATAAAGCTTTGCCCCCATTTCTATGGTTTTTTTCTTAGGACACTTGTTGTTTAGAGCTGCATATTTCATTTAGCCCAATAGTCTCTGACTGAGAAAGTTTCAGAAATATTTCAGGTTCTGTTTCCCTCATTACAGCCCTTCATCGTCAGAATAAATAAATAAAATATTACCTCAATGATTTACTATTAGATATGTAACTGAAGTTTTCCTTTTCAGTAAAAATTAACCAAGATTAAACAGTTTAAAGGCGAATTCCACAAAAAATAAAGCCTTAAAGATAAACACCTGATTATAAAGAACATAAAGATAATGCTTTAAAAAAACAATGAATTTCTCCCAAAACTGAAAACATTTGGTCAGAAATTAGATATTTTTTAATCTTTCTACAAATAAGCAGACGTTTAAGGTGATGATGACTAATTCAGAGGAACTTTTCCTGCATTTTGTCCTTCGTTCTCCCATTTAATTTTCACAAGGTTCAGGACAATCCCACAGCATGATGCTTCCACCGCCATAGGTTTAAATGTCACATATCGCTGTGAGTCCAGATCCTGATAAAGATTTTAATACAAATCATCCATTTTATCCACATCAGCATCTTTCAAATCTCACTTTGAATCTGGAACTGTTTTTTTTTCTGCCAAATGATTATTAATCTCTTAATTCATGTTGATGTTAAACTTAGTTTCATTGCAGACAGTAAAACAGATGAATGTAGTCGATCATGTTTTGAACTTGTTGGTCCTAAATCCTAATCCGCTCTAATCCTCTAATCCCAGATGAAATTTGGTTCAGCTGGTTGCCAGTTCGACTCATCCTGGTTTTCCAACATCTCTTGGAATCCCAGTGAACAAACATGTTCACCAGTATGCACCATTTGAACACCTAAGGATTCTTTCTGGGTTACTTTAAATTCATGACATGTTGGAAGTTCACTGTTCAGTCTGTTGTGTGTTTTTTAAAGCCGGCGGTTACAGTGTTGCTTGTTCTTCTGATTGTAACGCTGCGGTGGCCTCATGAAGTCCTTCTAAGCACAACTTTCTATCCAACAATAAAAATGTTCAAGTTGGTCTATTTTCTTTTGCATCTTTTGGACCTGCTTGTTTTCCAGCCATCCACATAATTCCAGTTACTTATTCCAACAGCTCCGCCTGCCTCGCCATCTCCCAGTTTGCCCACATCTCCCGAAATGAGAAGGAGCTGTCACGTCCATTTAAACCAGAGAAGCTTCATTAGCTCTGCTGGTTTGCTTTAATGCAGGAGCTGCATATATATATATATATATATATATATATATATATATATATATATATATATATATATATATATATATATATATATATATATATATATATATATATATATATATATATATATATATATATATGAGAGCCTTGGCATGATGCAGAGGAGACTGACTCTGCAGCGCTTTCCGTCTTGACTGTGAATCAGAGAGGGGAAATATTTGTTTGGAAATGTGGACTGGAGGGTAAGCACTCTGAAGAGGAGTGGAAGCAGTGTCTATTGAAAAATCTGCACCATGACACAAACAATTATGAGGAGAATCCAGAACAGGGCCAAGATGGCTCTGCAACCTATTTTGGATGTTTCCTCTGGCAGAGCAGCAGCAGCGTCCTGCAGGCCAAGAGATGTTTGGAGCATGTTGGGCCGAAAGCACAGAAAGAAAGAAGAGCCTAATACTGCTGCCCAGGTCCTTCAGCACCTGATAGCAAGCAAAGAAAACAAGAGAGGAAATTTCAGGTTAGAGATGGACGCAGACAAAGGCCTCTGGCAGAAAGGAAAAGGAGAAAGTGATGCAGAGATGAAGGGTGGGGGGGGGCTGGGTGCATAAAGGCAGGGTTGTATTTCATCCCTGCATAGTGGACGTCTTAATCAACAGTGTCAGGTTTGGTTTCTGGGGCTGCATGCGCTTCTTCACAGTGACAGCGAAGGCAACAGGCAACATTTTTAGAAGAAGACGGAGCGTCTTCATTCTGCTCAGATGCTGCATTCAAGTATTCACACTGGTCATGCAGCGATGCAACAAAATAATTCTGTTTGTAAAAAGCAAAAAAAAACAAGAAAATTCAAAAATAAGAGCTTTATTTTTTTATATTTTCACTTCAGTGAAATGAAAGGTCTTTATGTCTGTGAGAAAGTTTGCACAATATAAGGAGAGCGCTACTGCACAACAGTAAAAACTTACAAGACAAAACCAGTAAAATATATGCAATAAAAAAAAGAAGAAATAAAAATGAGTGCAAATATCCCACCTTTAGAAATGGCTGCAGAATTTTTATTTAGAAATTAATAAATAGGGTTTTAATTTTTGCATTTGCTAAAAAATATTCATTGGAGTTCAGTAGGAATTGTAAAAAAATATCATATATGTGTGTGTATGAATATATATATATATATATATATATATATATATATATATATATATATATATATATATATATATATATATATATATATATATATATATATATATATATATATATATATATATATATATGCTAATCATTAAAGCTGCATCTAATAAAACAAAAGTTACAATCTGAAACTGAGCTGTAAATATCACTAATGTTGCTCATTTTCTTTTTCTGCATGTTTTGTATAAAAAGTTTTATTAAAAACCTTTAAAATCTTTAGATGATCGTTTCTTCTGCTGCTGCTATCAGGCCTTTAAACCTGAAATAAACTCTCCAGGTCTGAAAGTTGGAAAGTGAAATGCGCTCTGAGCTCTCTGGCTGCTGGATGTGGATTTTTCCTGCAGGTCTTTCTTGCTCTCTGTGTGAAACAGAGATTATTTATTGGAAGGTGAAATATGCGCAAACATGGCGCGCTGTAAACAGAGGCCAGGAGAGCTTTTATGGAATAGTTAGTTGTGCCCCAGCAGCAGGATGACATGTCCTGATTATTGGCTGTATTTAGATAAGACGCCGCAGTAAATGGTTTCCAAATAGCGTCAAGGTCACGTAATGTAATGGGATAATGTTTTTGGGGGCGATGGCGATAAGATTATGTTTGAGGCGGAGGGCAGCAGGCCGCTCCTTTATTCTGTTTAGACTCTAAAAACAGAAAATGATCATTTTTATACTAATTATAATAAAAATAACACCAATGCTGCTGTATAGATTATTCTTTAGGGGTTTAAGGTTGACAACAGTGATTAAAACACGGAATTTCAGTCAGAAAACGATAATTAAGTTAAAAAAAAACATTAAAACAGTTTTAATGCTGCTTTAAGTAGAATTATAGTGACACAGAAAAATTTGTAAATGAAACACATTAAAAGGAAAGAGAAATATAATTTAAAATGCTTTAAATTAGGAACGTTTTTCATCGGCTAAATGATTTTATTTTATTTGCTGTTTCAAGGATACAACTAAAAACATGTTGATAGAAGAAAACATGAGTAAAAATAAGTTCCAAATTGATTTTTAAAAGACGGATTAAATAATAAAAACATTTTTTTTATTATTTTACATCAATTTAATTAATTTAGAAAGAATATTTAGCAAGTAAAGAAAGAAAGAAAGAAAGAAAGAAAGAAAGAAAGAAAGAAAGAAAGAAAGAACGAAAGAAAGAAAGAAAGAAAGAAAGAAAGAAAGAAAGAAAGAAAGAAAGAAAGAAAGAAAGAAAGAAAGAAAGAAAGAAAGAAAGAAAGAAAGAAAGAAAGAAAGAAAGAAAGCTCTGCAGTCTGTCATCACCTCCTTAAAAGCGCGTCTCCAATTGATCGGTGCGTAAAGTTCTGCGCGTAATAAACCGCGAAACTACCCAAATAAAAATGTGAAATGTAGAAGAAAAGGAAAGCAGATCTACTTTCTCCTCTGCTCATGTGATGCCAGTCAGGCAGATGTTTTGGTCGCTGCATTCTGGCACCATGTTGTTCCAAACTCTCCTCCCATCTCCTCCATTGGCTGCCTGTTGGTTTCGCTCACATCCAGCTCATATAAACCTGGGGCCTCTCACCTTCTCATGGCTCAAATTACTCCTGCAGATCTCTGTCTTCTTCTGGAAAGTAGAATTCGGTGGAACTGCGGCGCATCGCCAACATCTCAGGAATATTATTTTGCTGCTGAACGTCTCCGATCATGAGGATGGTGTAAAATGAATAGATTATTATTAACTTGTGACCACAGTTAGGAGACTCATCGTTCTGCTCGCTGCTGATCCTCGAGCAGAGACGGTTTTGGGGCCGAACGAGTTTATTTTCTTCCCGGCTCAGCATGAACCTCATCGGGGGCTATCAGCATCATCACCACCACCACCTCATGCACGAACCCTTCCCGTTTGTCCAGCGGTGCCACCAGGACGCACCGTATTTCCAGAGTTGGGTGGTGAACCACGGCGAGGTGCCCGCGGACTTCCAGATCCAGGCGCCCTACACGCCGTCCGCGGAGCTGGGAGCGCATGGGACGGCGCACGACGGCCGGCTGGAGGCTCTGCAGAGCGGCATCGGGAAGAGGAGGGCGTCCGGGCCGAAGAAGGAGCGCCGCAGGACGGAGAGCATCAACACGGCCTTCGCTGAGCTCCGGGAGTGTATTCCCAACGTTCCTGCAGACACCAAACTGTCCAAAATCAAAACTCTGCGCCTAGCGACCAGTTACATCGCGTATCTGATGGACGTGCTGGCCAAGGATTCCGGAGAGACGGAGGGCTTTAAGGCCGAGATTAAGAAATTTGAAACGCGGGATTTGAAAAGGAAACGGGAGCTGGTGAGTTTTCTTTGCATAAATGTGCAAATTATCCGCAATCCCAAACATTTTCTACCTTCAAATGCGGAGTTATTTACGCATCTATGACCCAAAATGTTCATGAAGAACTAAACACTGGAAAAAAGAAAAGAAAAGAAGAAAATGGATAAAACTAAAGATTAAAAACAAACTAAGCATTTTTGTCCCTCATTTCACTTATGCCAAAAATGTTAACAGAAATTCCAAAAATAGGAAAAAAATAATAAACCAAATTTTTTCAAAATGTTTTATCATAAGACTTAAAACGAGAGAAAATCTAGTTTAACTAACAAACAGATTATTCAGTAAAATAAAATTAACTAAAAATACATAAATATTTATTAAACCTGTTTATTTCTGGTCACTTCTGCTTAACGTTTAACGCAAAATAAATACATTCAGAAATAAAAAATAACTTTTATCCTTTTCTAGAATCACATCTGATTCCATTTGCTTTCAGCAAATCAGAAAAATAAAACATGTTTTCAGAAATGCATTAAAACTATATTTTCATCATTAAACAGTTTATTTAACTCTGGTTCTAACTTCTAAACCTGCAATTAGGTCCAGTTTAATGTTGGGTTTTATTCTAAAATATGCATCTGGCAGCAAACTTCCTTTTCAGGATGAGATTAGAGATTATATGGGGTTAAGGTTATTAGCCCACTCATAGTCCGAAGTGGTAATAAAGTCAGCTTTATTTTCATAATATAGAACAAGTTGTTCCAGATCGACTCTGCATGGCAGGAATAACGCAGATTAAACTGAAAAATATACAAACTATTAACAAGTCTGTAAAACAAGTTAGACGCAGCTTTTCTAAATAAACCTCAGATGTGAAACCAAAGCAAAATGTTCCATTGGCAGAATAATCCAGGCCGCTACCTCGGGGTTAGGATTAACTCTGATTTCACATTAAAGATGGACCCAACCTTCAATTCTTCCTCCAGCGCAAACATTTTCTAATCTAGGAAATCTGTCCGTGTTTATTTATCATTTGGCCTAAAACGAAAATAAATCTGTTAACTTTCCAATCTGCAAAGTTATTTAACCCAATGTTTGAGAAGGAATGCATGCAGGAAAAAATCCGTTTCTGGACATTATGCATCAATAAAGAAAGCGCCTTTAATCCCACAGGGATTAGTAGTGCAAGAGTTTCAGTAGAAATAACAATTTAATCTAAAAGTTTTAAAAAAAAACCTGATAAAGATTTTAAAAAATCAAAAAGATGTTTAGGCCTCTGGGATTATTAAAGTATTTCTGATTTGTAATTCTTAAGGTGGCATCATATGAGGCACATTGATCTATCTATCTATCCATCTATCCATCTATCTATCTATCTATCTATCTATCTATCTATCTATCTATCTATCTATCTATCTATCTATCTATCTATCTATCTATCCATCTATCTATCTATCTATCTATCTATCTATCTATCTATCTATCTATCTATCTATCTATCTATCTATCTATCTATCTATCTATCTATCTATCTATCTATCTATCTATCTATCTATCCATCTATCTATCTATCTATCTATCTATCTATCTATCTATCTATCTATCTATCTATCTATCTATCTGATTGGATGACACACACACACACACAGATAAAATCCAGTTCAGACCAATCATAAAGGTCATGCCAACGCAGACTCCGCCCAGTTTTGTAAAAAATCAGCCAGTTATATTGACTGTCTGGTTGGCAAATATTATCTTTATTAGATTTGCTGTTCTAATGTCTAAATATTTATTTAATCAATAATTTATCATACATTTTTTTATTTCATCCCATTTTGCAGACATTATTAAAACTTCCATCTTCAGTCAAAATATTAGCAAATAAAAACTAATTTCAAAATCAGTAAAACTTGTATAATAATAAGCAAACAGTGATAATAATAATAATAATAATAATAATAATAATAATAATAATAATAATAATAATAATAATCTCGGAACAGTTTGTTCTTTCAGCATTTAGTCCAAACATTTTAATTCGTCTGAAAAAGTTTTCAACCACATTTCGCCATCAGATGACGTCATGATTTAAAAAAATATCCACTCAGATTAATGAAACATTTGTTTTGGTATGATGCATCTGACAGCTATAAAATATTGTAAACATGTTATTGAACATTTGCTCAAACTGAGGCAGAATTAAGATTTTAAAAGTTTCATCACAGATGGAATAAAACTAAAATTATTATTTAAAAGTTGAATCCGCCTCATAACTGAACTTATTGAAATGGATCAAATATTAATGTTTCAGGGTTTAATTAACTTCAACTGTTTAGTTTCACTGCGTTTAGAGAAGAGAAACTGTGTTGTTTTTTTATAGCATGACTTTAATAAAAATATACTTAATCGGGCAGTTAATTCTGTTAACATAAATTAGAATTAAAAAAACTTTAAACAAAAAGAAGTAATTTTTTGACAATAGTTACAAAGCGGTATAGATGTAGAACTCTTTGTATAAAGATGTATTTAACACCATTATAAAGCGATTAGATGTTTTTACGTATTTTTAATTTATTTTGATCTGAATTAAATATCCAAAGCTGATCACAAGCAAGAGACTAAAATAGTGCAGCTGCTGCTGCAGATGTTGCTGCAGATGTTGCTGCAGATGTTGATGGCGGTCTGCTTCTTGTGCTTCTTCCTCCTCCACAGACCGACGGACTGCAGGAGTCTTTTGGAGGCGAGAAGAAGGTGAAGGGCCGGACTGGATGGCCGCAGCAGGTCTGGGCCCTGGAGCTCAACCAGTGACCCCCCCACCCCCCCACTGATGCGCTAAAATGCAGAGACTGAAATGAGAGCCTGGAGGAGGAGCTGCAGCAGCGCGTCTTTCCCACAATAATAATAATAATAATAATATTTGTGATATTTTAACTGTTTATTTCTTTGGGCTTCACTCTCCTGCTGCCAAAGCAAACAAACAGAAACTGCCTGTTTTCACCTGATCTACATGGTTCATTTCTACAACAGGGTCACTTTTCATTGCGTTTAAATCTGTTTATTACTGTAAATATTAAGAAGGTATGAAATAAGACTTTTTTTTGGCTTCTTTTTCTCCACCGGTTCACGAACACATTTTTTATTTTGTGACAATTTTAACAAAACAACCAATCTATGGGCTCTATTTCTGTAAAGCAGCCAGATGGAGGTTTAGACACTATTGTTCACTAATCAGGAAAATTCACGTGGAAGTGGTGAATTTCTTTGATCCGCAGTCAGAATGTGAGAAGCAGCTCTAGAAACTCTGATTATTAATGTTAAACTGATTGAATCTACCTCAGTATTTGAAATAAATGTCACAATAAAAAGCAGAGTGAGACATTAGTGAACATTAACGCAGCTTTTCACTCCGACGCGTAAAAACGCTCAAACTACAGATGGAAATAAAAATGTAATTACTGTGCGTTAGATGTTAAGGTGTATTTGGTTCCATTAATAAATGGAGGATTTTATGACACATTACTTCTGAAACGCCTGATATGTGAATGATGATGTGAACCACGGGCAGCCATTAATCCATTATTAAATTATTTTGAAGAATTAAAGCATAATTTGCGCTTCATAATTACCTTTCATTAAGCCTCACCAGAAGCTTATTTATTTTTTAAACTTTCTTTTCAAAGCAGATTTTCATGAACAGAAATCAAACCAAAAAGGTTCAGAAACACTCAGATTATTAATCTTTTAATTAATCTCTCCTGGTTTCCATGAACTGAACACACTTAAACTTTCCTGGATGGTGGATTTATTTCAGTTGGTTTTTGTTCAGGAAACATATTTAATAATAATAACTAATAAAGTTTCCAGTGATGAAACAAAGTGGAATAAATCCGCTGTAGGAGCAATGGGGACACCTAGTGGTGAACGGCTGCTATGAAGGTGAGCAGTCAGAGTGGAACCTGATCCTCATTCATTCACATGATGAATCAAACATGAGCTGCTTGTTAATGTGCAGCATTAATGCTGGATGTTTTCACAGCTCGGCTCTTTGCTGTTTCATTATTTTTCATCCTTTTTCCAAATGAGCAGCGAGGTAAAAAAGTTCAATTAAGACTGTTAGAAATTAAAGTAAAACTCTGCACCCTGATTGGCCAATCCGTGCTGCCGGCTCTCTAAAGGTTGATTCTCATGTGTTATGAAGACAAAAATAATCCTGAGTTCAGTTTGAACAAAATATTAGTATTAGTATAGTTTGGATTAAGGATGTAAACAAATCTAAATGTAAAAATAAATAATCTCCCAGAAGGTCTAAAAGCAACAGCTGCTCTGTCAGGTTAGTTCCTTTAATTTCCGTCCGTCATCTCCAGCGTTCTACAGCCAATTAATCTCATTCTAAGGAACTAAACTGAAGAGAATTATTAGTGGATTTCACAAACTGTTAAATTTACTGGATCTGAAACAGTTTCATTAAAAGTAGAATACGTCTCAGTTATCCTCCGCTCCATAGCCGCAGTTTTCTGGTTCAAAAAGCTATTTTTGCCACATTTTAAATCTGGTCTGTTTGTCAACAGACCTTTAGGTCTTTTAACTGCAGATAATTCAGTTTTAATCGACTAATTGTATCAACTTTACAAAATTATGGTCACAATACTCCTTAGAGCCATTTTTGTTTGATCAGGGGTTTCAACCCGGCATTTAATTTAAGTAGCTTTTTAAAGAACGCTTCATGCAAAGGACAAAAAAAATATATAGATTTTTTTGTAAAAGGAGTGTTTGTATGTTTCTGCAGTGCGTTTGACTGGTCCAGGAAGTAACCCGTAACATTCACCTATAGAGCGCAAGAGATGAGCGCCTGGACGAGCAGAGGATGGATGGCTTTAAATACGCAGGAAGACAATTAATCATTGGTATAAAAGATGAGCAATGATTTTATACCAACACTGCTTTCCATAGAGCAACATGGAAGAAGTGATCATCAGTAGTTAGTAGTGAATAAAACATCCCCAGATCCATTCATCTGCCCAGACAATACATTTATTAATATTAGGAGCAGTATGCAGCCATACTTAAATATGAATTTTCTCTCTTTTTAATAGAGCAGTCAGTATAATGAGGCATGACCTGTGTTAATAAAGACCCATGTTTTCTACATGACACTAAGAAATCTACAAGGAAAAGTAAAAAGTACAAAAGACTGAAAATAAAAGGGAACAGAAAGCAGAGATCTGCAGGAGGACGGTGAGAACGTCTGAAGGCCTCAGCAGAGCGTTTCCTTCCAGATGGTAACTAGTTTCCTCCGTTTGATGATTATCAGCAGGATCAAAACATCAAAACCTGAACAATTAAATGACAAAAAGAAAAAAACATCAAGAGGAACATTTCAAAGTAATTAAATCAGAGAAATATGGAGGAAAAAGTCGGGATAAATCCTCATATAGCAGCAGACAAACTGCTAGAAAGTTTCTGGGTTTTTAATTCATTGTTGAATTTGTCGGCGAAGCGAGAAGCTGAACGTTAGCGACAGGAAGAAACGGCGGCTCATCTTCTTTCCTCCTATCTTTACATCCCGTCTGAACACAGGACACCAATAAAGTGATCCGTTTCCTGTTAGACATTATTAGCGATGGTTTGATTGGATCTTAAACTGAACCTGAGTCTGAACTTTTTAACCCTTTCCAGCATCGTTGGCCTCTGGCTGATAACCACCTCGTTCCTCTGAAAGTGATTAAACTTTATTCACCAGCTAGAGAAAGAAAAACACACACACCACAAAGTTTAGTTTCTGTCCCTCCCTTTTCTAAACTCTTAAGGCAGCCATTTAGTATATTTGCATTTAGCTGATTTATTTCCCATCTGGCTCTGGATTTTCTACAGTATTACGATGAATCTCTGCTGTGAGTTCTGCTGCAGACGGCAGCGACAGCAAGAAACCAAATCCAGCAGACTCCTCCTCCTTCCATGTCTCCTCCAGTTTAACGTCCTGAGAGGACGGCAGGTTCTGGTCCCACAGAGGAAGGAGCTGCTGCTGATGGAGGCGTGTGGATCTGGCGTGGAGCTGATGCTGGCGGGGGGAACTTTAGTCCAGCGGTTTACCTCCGTCGCCCTTCTGGTCCAGGCGGCTCTTGCTACTCTTCACCATGTAGATGAAGTAGGTGAGGGTCTCCTTCTCGTTTACAGGAATATTCCTGAAATGACGACTCACAGTCTGTGGAGAGAGACCAGAAATGATCAATCAATCAATCAATCTGGGCTGCAGGTTCACAGCGAGCACTGCAGGATTAAAGAGCTAAATTTAACTGGGAAAAGCAAAACAAAAACCAAAGAAAGTTGATCTCTCATCATTCAATCACTGATAATCTGTTCCAATAAAAAAACTAAAACCTTATCGAGTCTGTTGCTTAATCCACCTGATTTCCTGCAAACGTCTAAACATCCCTGCTTTAAGTTGCTTAAAATAAAGATAAAATTATTATCCTCATTAAAACAGTAATCTCCACTGAAACTAATTCCTTCCATCATATTCTACCTATAAATTATACAATAATTATTTCACCAAAAGAACATGTGCAACGTTAACATGGAGCTTTTTTTAGGTTTGTTTATGGAGAGAAACCTGCATCATTTAGCCGATAAGGTCGCGAATAAAAACTCCAACTGTCTCTAATCTAGCAGAGACTAAACATATAGGAGCATTAGAAGCAAACATAATCCAGATGAAACACAGAAATTAAAGCTGCGTTAAAATATTTAAAGTTAGGAAACTGTTGCTTAGTCATCTTTACTTTGGGATTCTCTGCTTCAAAACAGGAAAAGGAAAAACGCGTTTAGCTCTCATCCAAACTTATCAGAACGTGACGCTTCAGTTTATTCTGAACACAGAAGCCTGGAGATGAACTATTGGGATCATTTCTCTGCTGTGGATAAAGGATGAATTCATGAAGGGATCATTAAGTCATCAATACGGTAGAAGAAGAGCCCCCCCTGCTGGATTAAGTGGTAAATTACAACAAACAATTCGATCCTCGCTGGTTTTAAACAAACAAACCAAAAAGACTGATGGATGTTTTCAGTGTTGGGCTCTGTGGGAACTAGCTGCAGGTTTTCATGCAGCTCCAACCGACTCCACCAATCACAGGGCAGCGTGTCTGATTCACCACAACATTTAGAAAATAAAACTAAATCACTCAGTAGGAGACTGATAGATTGAAACGGTATTCAGCTGAATAGAAACAGCGGTGAAGTAGAGGGGTGAGCTGCGTTACCTCTGCCAGCTGAGCCTTGTTAAGCCCAGGTCTGGTCTGCAGCTTGTAGTGTCGCTTGTAGCGTCTCAAAGTGTTCACCTGCAGCTGGAACAGATCCACCTGAAAATACCAAGCAGGCCATGAGAATCCACCTGGAAAAACACCTCCTCACAGCTGCTGCAGCAGCGTATGACACACCTGAAATACCATCAGCCAGTTAGAGAACATTAGAAATCCCCCAGGATGGAAAGCTGAGACCTTCTGGTTTATAGAGAACAGAATCTGATGGTTTTATAAACTTCAAAACACGTCAAAATATTCCCCTCAATTAAAAAATGCTATATTTATTTTGTTACATCTTTCGTATCATTTATGGTTGATTTCTCCTACTTTATAAACTTGTTCTTCATGTTGGAACAACAAACGTGTCAAATTTCACATCTCTATTCAGAAGCAACGTGAAACTGACCGTTTTTATGTAAAAGGTCCAATTGTGCAAAAAATGGAGCAAATGTTCCAAACTGCTTTAGTTTAATCTTATGACCATTTTGACCAGAAAAAAAACTAATTTCTATCTTGAGATTAACACACATTTTCATCCAAACATCTAGTTTAGGATTAGCGTCTAGCTGATGGGTATGATCGGCTGTGGTTCGGATCACCAGAACAGAAAAAAAAATAGGATCTGAAAATTATAAACTTTAAGCTGATGATGAATTATTAGTTACTGATTTTTGAGTTGATGGTCATTTTCTGTAGGATTGCTTGATTCTAAAGAGGTATAATATGCTGCAGTTTCACTCTTTGATGCAGAAGAAATGTGATGTAAAAACGGACGGCTGTGAGAGTTAGTCGAGTCGACATTCTGGGTTTGCTCGTTTCCAGACATCATCACGCTGCTGTAGATCAATAACCACAGCAGTTTCTCCTCTTCAAAGGACGCTATCATCTGGATGAACCCTGAAGAGGCTTCCTCCTTGCAAACAGCGTTTGCTAACGTGCTAATAGCTGCGCAGCTTCTTGATCTGATCAAGAATTATTTGCCTCATTTCCAGTCAGTTCAGATGTTAACGATTTTCTCCCCATAAATGTTTTTACATCATATTTAGTGCAAACATGTGAGCCTTCTTTGCTCCACTGGTTTTGGTCTCTGTCACACATTTTATCTTAAATGTTTATATATATTTTTGGAAGTGATTAGTTCTGTCAGCTAAAGGCATCTTTTACAGTCTTTGCAGTTAACGATTAATCGATTAAAAAATTAGTTCACGATTATTTCTATAATTTATTAATCCTGTTTGTTTCAAACTCCTCAAAGATTGTTTTTGCTTTTTTCATGTTGAATAAATATTAACACTGTGGATTTCTAAGTGAACATTTAAAGAAGCTGCCTTTGCCTATAAACTACTAGAAATTAAAGCCCAGGTAGCTTTTTAAATGTTACCAAAAGTAACTAAATCTTTTTATTACTTCCTGATGGCAGCTTCACGGTGTTTCACATAAATTCCCGTTACTCAGCTTACCTACGGTTTAGTGATATAATGAAGCAACCTTTAGAGAAGGGAGCAGCTCCCAGGTTGTTTTCAGCTCCTCTCACCTCAGGAACGTCCACATCGTGATCCGGGGACTCGCCGCCATCATCGCTGGTCTTTCTCTTCCTCTTGTTGCGGACGCTCTGGATAAAATTCTTGTGGAAATCACAGATGTAGAGATGCCGCACCTAGAAGGCCAAGACAAACATAAAACCTCTTAAGCTCCTAGAAAATATTTTCACCATCCAGCCTTGACTGTGTTCGTTTGAAGCTGTTGAAAATGAAACCTGCTGATTGGAAAACGTTGCAGACTGACTAATGCTTCATCACAGACGCTCCTTAAAAGGCGAATAAACACCAATTATTTAGTAGATAAAGAGTAGGACAATTAATTAAATTAAGTCAATGTTAGATAAATTATCTGCTAATTTAAAATGATAACTCATAGACTCATTTATCTTGTCGATCAGGAATGTTCCAGATCGCTGTGACCCTGACTGACAAGATAAACCTCTTAGATTTTTACGTATATCAAAACGACCAGAAACCATGAATGAAATAATGCGTTTAGCTTTGGTCACGGCTTGGACTAAAGATAGAGCAAAATTTTTCTAAAACTCTACAGTTTTGTGTCGATTTAAAGCTTTAATGGAGGCTGTTGTTGTTCCAGGTGAATCATCTCAATCAGTGGTCCTCCTAACTGTCAATCATTCAGGTGTCCTTCATGCTCCTCCCCGTTTCCTCTGGTGAGTCTGACATGGTGGAAATCTTTTGGAAAGTTAGCTTGTATGAGCGACGCTAACAGTAACTTTTATAAACAGTGCGATCACAAGGATAATGGACTTGTGCACGCTCTGGCTCACGTTTAATAGGGGTTCCCTCTTGGCAGCGCGTACAGGGTTGTTCATTAATTTTTTTAAGTGGGCGGGTCTATTCAGATATTGGTGAAAATCCTTCACTATAGCTTTTAAACTGCCAACATGTCAATCATTCCATGGCTTACGGTCCTTTTCTTGGAGCGGCTGCCATTTTCTCTGAATGCGAGGGAATGGAGTGTCCTTACAGGAAGCATTCACAGTCCTTCACAACACACTGCCTGTCAGCTGGCTGAAACATTAGCATTGCAATTTCCCCACAAATTTCAAGCAAAACAAACAGTTTGTCTAACTTTTTTCCACTTTCTACAAGAGCATCAACATTCCACCAACAAAGTGCTCTTCAAACCCAACGCTTTCTTTTTGCTGTAAATATAAACTTAATTAATAAACAATATAAAGTAGCTGCATACCTGTGTTCATAATTCACCTTCAGATTTTTTTTTTTACAATGTTTATATCAAGTCTAACTCCTTCAGTCGCAACAAGGTAAAGCAGAAGGATGATCTGTATTAGATGCTGTGACGAACAAAGTCTCTAAAACGACATGATGAACAAAACTGCATGAAAAGATCTTAACAGACATCCTAAATAATTCATGTGTTCATCATATATTACACGTGTTTGAAAAGGAGGAAAATTAAAAAGGTTTTGTTTAAATCAATAAACGCTTAAATGGATCAATTCTATATTGTAAACAATCTTATATTTTAAGTCTATATGCTCTCAGTTCTAGATGATCGGTTCTAGATCAGTTCTGTGGGATTCCGCTCATCGGCTGCTGCGTAGTTTGAATTAATCTTAATCTTCCAGATCAGTTCCAGAGGAATAAAGCTGGTCTTACGCTCTTATCGATGTCCAGCTTGAGTTTCTTCTGGGAGATGCTTTTCTGGATCCTCTTGCTGAAGGAGGCGTTCCCCGCCGAGCGGCCGCAGCGCTCCCCGTCCTCGATCAGGCAGCAGCTCTGGCCGTAGAAGGGAGGAGGCGGCGGGCCGTCATGGCTGTCCTCCTCGGTGCTGAAGCCGTTCATCCTTCCAGCCGCCGGTTCACCTTCTGCTCTGATCGGAGGATCCGCAGCGCAGCAGCGTTTCAGGCCAAATCCCACTTCCTGTTGATCTTTTTGTTGTTGGACAGCCGGCAGCTAGCTAGCGGAGCAGCTAGCGGAGCAGCTAGCTCAGGTTAGCGGCTAATCCCGGAGCTAGCAGCCTTCACCGTTTGAATGTGACCGACCTGAACCCAGACCCCCGCGGCTCAAAAACAGTCCATTCATCTGTTAAACCGGAAAATAAACCCGCGGTTACCGATACTTTGCTAACCGGCGGAACGAGCTGGAGGAGCCGCCGCTCAGCCTGGAATTCCTCCGGTGAGAACCAGCGCACCCTGTCCCTGCAGCCGCCCGTTACTGTGCCGCTAACCGCCCGCTGTGATTTCCTCCCCAACAAGCGGCAACTGATCAGAAGAAGGAAAAATAACTTTAACCGATTCTAACAGTTTGCAGCCCCACAACTGCGACACTCTTTGAAGACTGCTCGGTACAATGGAACATGCTCCGTCCGTGTGGCGGAAGTTCCTGTCCTGGACGCTGATTGGCTCACTTTCCCCCGGAGGCGTGCCTAAGGTCCAAAACCTATGTTCCTATTGGCTGGAGCAAACATCAGTCTCACACAGTTTTCTACTACGAAAAGGCGTTAAATGTGGCGTCATAGACAGTTAAATGCCTTTTTCCTCACCAAGGATAGATAGATAGATAGATAGATAGATAGATAGATAGATAGATAGATAGATAGATAGATAGATAGATAGATAGATAGATAGATAGATAGATAGATAGATAGATAGATAGATAGATAGATAGATAGATAGATAGATAGATAGATAGATAGATAGATAGATAGATGCCTCAATGTGCCTCATATGACGCCACCTTAAGAATTACAAATCATATCTCTGCTTTTTTAGATATTAAACTTTAAAGTCTGCTAAATGTGATAAAGCACCGTTTCTGAAATTCTTTCTATAATTCACAGCATGACTATTGACTTTTATTCCCAACAGATTCACAGTGCAATACTGCAAGACACCACACGATGGAGACAAAACCTCGTAAATTCTTTTGGGGGAAAAAAAGGGGGCGTGATTTTTCTCTGTTAAATCTTTGTACCAAAACCTGTTCACATCTTTGACATCCTGACAAGGATTCAAATGTATCCTGCTAAAAAGTTTTTAATACATAGGTTTTGTAATATGCGTTTAAAGCCATTTTTTATTTTTCTTAAATTCTTCAGTTTATATACCAAACTAGGATGCATAAACCAGTCACTCAGGTTACTGGGCCAGATTATATAACATTCGCTTTCAAATCCCTCCTTCATTTAACTGAAGCTCCAGATATTAGTTCACTCACTGTCAAGGTGTCAACTTTGAACTCTGGGCTCTTGTGGCATTTGATTCCTTTCTTTTTTATATGCTGTTGTAGACTTGTTGCCGTGCTTAGTGAGAACGGATTAGTCCACCATTCACCTGCCATACAGATTCCTTCTCACTGAGCTCTAGTGCAGGCTTCCCCAACCTCAGTCCTGGAGGCCCGCTGTCCTGCAGGTTTTAGAGGTTTCCCTGCTTCAGCACAGCTGATATTAATGATTGCAGTAGACCAAAAGCCTGGTAATCAGCTTTCAATTAAATCAGCTGTGCTGGAGCAAAGAAAAGCTCTGTAAACAACGAGCCTTTAGGACCGAGGTTTGGGGATGCCTTCTCTAGAGGACTTACATTTAGAGGCGTTCATAGCAAACTCAATAAACTTCTTCAGATGTTTTTTTTTACCAGTCTGTATGTGTTTAGTTTCCATGCCCCTGGAGGAACAGACATTTGGTGGAATGAGGTCTATAAGGCAAGGCAAGGCAAATTTATTTGTATAGCACAATTCAGTACAAAGACAATGCAAAGTGATTTACATGATTAAAATACAGGAAGATAAAACAGAATCAAAGCAAGTAGGAAAAAAAATTAAAAACAGTTGGGTTAGCATTTGATCAAAAATTTCTCCTTGGGCAGTTGACAATTCACCAGAACCTTGCCTTTTGTTCTACTACCATAGAACTGCAAAACCTTTCCCATTATCTACAGGTAATTTAACTCTGCCCGATACACACCAATCCTCTGGTGCCAACCTGGATAACTGGGGGGGATTCCACTCTAGATTACCGACGTCTCAGTAAAATTAAGTGCCTTCTGGTGGCACCTACAACCTTCCTCTCAGTCTTAGAGAGAGCCTCGCGTTCCTATGTGAGGTCTTTTGGTTCACAGGTGGAACAAAACCTGAACTGCCTTTCTGCTCCCCAAAAAGAAAAGTTATCTTTTATTTTGTATGTATATTCTTTATTATTATACTAATGGTAATGCTTTTGAAATGATTAATTTAAAGAAAATATGTTTTAGTTGAACTGTTTAACTAGAACAGTCGAAGATAACTATACGGTATATAAGGAAGATAACTTTTCCTTATGTTGATTCCAGTTGATTGATCCCCATAAGTTATGATAGTGTAACATAAATAATGTTAAGTCATCCTAAAGCAGCATTTTCCTGATGAATTAGCGTGAATACCTGATACATGGCCACACCCACCACACATAAAAAAAATATAGAAAAAAAAATGCGGGGAAAATAAAAGCAGCTCATTCTAAAGGCATGTTCTGTTGTTTCATTTAACATAAGATACATATTAAAGTGCAGTAGGTCTTGCTTCTCCAAACATGATCCAAGTAAATCAGTGAATTTTTCAGTTGTTTAATGCAAGTCAGGTAAAAGCCATTCTTGAGAAACGGATCTTTTGCCCATTGATTGTCTCCCCGCACACACCTTTTGTTGCATCCTCCATCAGTCAGCTTATTCATTTGGCTGTCTCCTCTATCATTGGCTAAACGGCTGCTCCTGCATAGCAAGATGTCTGCTAAACTCCTTACATAGTGGAAGTCTATCCTAATCTCAATTTAAATCCAAATGGACTCTTACCTCATAGTTCCTAGAGCCAAAAAATACCTTTTTTTTCTGGAATAAATGATTTTGGAGTTTATTTGCTTCCAACAATGCTGCAAATCTAGGACACATTTATTTTTTTAGCAAAACTATAAAAATGGGAAATGTTTGCAGATAGATATCTGTCCTACAGGAGTGCAACTAATCCATCTCTAATGCAAGGGTACTTTGTGAAAAATGGTGCATAGATTCTGAGCTAAATGCTTCCTGCCTTGTTGGGGTCAAAGCTCTGATCCAGTAATCTCATCCATTTTAATATTAACCATGTGTTTATTTTATGAGAGTTTTGAACTGTAGGAAAACAATGTGCTTTAAATGATCCATTTGCACTGAGTGACATACAAGAAAAGTTTTCTCAGCTTGCTTTTTGTTAAAAACATTTGTCCTATCTCAGACACATCGAACACCCAAGTCACCCGTCAAAGGAAATGGAAGCAAAATGCTGTAAAAGCTTCTCCAGAAGACTAAAGGCTGCTTCAAGGGAGAGATCTTAAAAGCTATTGCTTTTGTTTACAAGGGTTATTTTGTTGTCATTTGTTTGATGGGATATTTGCTCTCATCTTAAAAACTGCCTCATCATGCTGAGCTGATGGCAAAATGAGAAAACATATTTAATAATGTCATGGTTTTGGTTCTCTCTGAGTTTTCATCGGTTTTATTTCCATTTTGTGTTATTCTAGTAAGTTTTGATTGTATTTTTGAGTTCTTAGATATTTCTTGTTTGCCATCTTGTATCTGTCTCCTCCTCCTAGCTCCCTTCTAGACTCCTCTGTTCACACCTGCTCCCAGTGTGCTGATTAGCCTGGTCTTTGTCTCTCTCCCATAGATGCACCTCCTGCTCAGTCACTGTTGCTGGTTTGTCATCATTTCTTCACTCCTTGTTGTGAAGATTCCTGGTTCTCAGTTTTTGTGGATTTATGTTTTGTGATTTTTGCTTCTTTTGAACCTTTTTGGATAATAAATAAGCTTCAGTCTGCGTTTGGGTCCTCCTGTCAAACCTCCACCCTACTGTTACAAATACAGGCAGTTGTAAAATAATGTACCAGGTCAGACAATAACAAAGCAGCAAAAGAGCTAAAGAAATTTCGATGTCGTTTCATTTTTTTTGAAAAATGACATGCTAAATAGTTTTTTAAGGAATATTAATAGCTGAGAGAGCAGGAATGTAACATGGTGCATCTCCTGGAAGGGAGGGGGGGGTGCAGATTGTCCATTGACTGATGGATGTGGAAAGTGGCAGATGATGGGGTAGTGTAACATTACCAGGTTTCTCATATTGCTATCATCAGGGAGAGGTCTCTAAGAGCCAATAAGACATAAAGTGGCTCTCAGTGTATTCAAAGTTGTCGTCGCACCTCAATCTGGGCGAAGCAGCGACAGGCTGAGCATTACGATGTCCCAGGAGACTCCAGGAAATGGGCCGTGCTGAGGAGCTATATTCACTGATGAGTAAATCACTGCTGCCTGAAATCTCTGCCAGCTTCTGTGTGGGAAGCAGAAATGATTATGACATTAACATTTTGAAAAAACGTGTTTTAGCACATTCAATCACTAAGATGATTAAAGTGAAAATGGATTAAAACATGCCCAAAGAGTCTATTTGAAGAGAAGATTATTATGAAGGGCTATCATAACGTATGTAGATGATCCTGTCTAACAATTTAAGGTGGTGATAAAACAAACCTGACATGCATTAGCTTGTAGTTCCTACCTCAGATCGATCTTTACTGTAGAAAAAAGGCCAGAAATGTTTCGACAGAAGAATCCTATAATAGGCTGTAACCTGGAAAGCCCATCAGCAAACAAGACAAACACCAACAAACCCATATATCCATGGAAGACTCAGACTTCCCAAGTTATGACCCATAAATGATTATGGAAACCCATGAGGGCACAGAGAGAACATGGAAACCCAACAGAAAGATGTTGAACTCAAGATCCTCTTGTTGTGACGTCACAAAGATGACAACTACACCGATGGGCAATAAAATGTTGTTTTTTGTTTTTTTTAACCAATAAAACCATATTTTTCTATCTCAGCAGTCATATTTTTATACTAAACGCTTCAGCAACAGTTTTTACGACAGCTCCACTCTGATATTGAGTTAAACTCTGAAATATGGGCCTGTTCGAATTCATGGGCTGCGTCCTCTGAAGGCCAGATATGAAGGACGGTGACATCATAGCACGGCGCCGAGGTCTGGTCGGATTCCAAGAGTCCTCGTTATGCGGCCTTAAAATGCGTCCTTCTTTTAGCCCGATTTGAAGGACGGGTCTGATGTATCCTTGCTATCCTTGGTTTACCCAGAATTCATTGTGAGACCAAGCCAGCCGACTGCTCCGTGATCAGAGGAAAGGTTACTTGGCGCCGAACAGTGGTGAAAATTGGAAGTTCAGTTTAATATAATCCAGTCTGTGAATAGTTCCGTCTGAGATGAATGAAAATAGTTGTTTTAATGGTTACTGAGTCAGATATGTGGCGGTAATGTTTGGTTTATCTAAAGGTTTTTATCTGTTACTGTGTAAATGGGTTTGGCTGGAATTTA